GTGAAAACGGGCTCACCACTTGTAAGAGTTCTACTACGTCTTAGAGTGGACCTATACTGTAAACACTTACAAACTTCTTCACCGTTTTGGCGACCTACTAATCTTAGCAGTACACTGCTGGACGCGCAAATGCTGACGAACTGTATCGTTGTAAAAATACTTGATGTGACAAGAGTACCTGGGAGAATTATATTTTATTCAACGAAATATAAAATTCAATAAATAAAGAAGTCGTACAACTTATCTGCAGACGTTGCTGGAGGTAGGCTCGGAGAGTGTGCAGAAAGAGAGCACAACAAGAGAGCGAACCTATGAACGTAAGGAAGACTCACAAGTCAAAAGGTAAAACGTGGATCACCGTGGGTGAGTCAGTTTAAACAAAAGTTCAAAGGTACAATGTGCACTACAGGTTATCCCCCCTCTAGAAGGTTGGTGGGAAGCCAGCAAGCTTCGATATACAACAGTAGGATGGCTTGGCACAATAGCAATGGGTGAATGAGAAGGTTTGAAAATAGCAATAGTAAAAAAAAAGAAATTTTACCGAAAGGAAAGAAAGCAAAAGAAAAGAGAAAAAAAATTAAGGTAAGTTGGAAGTGGTATGTACATGATTAGTGAAGTAAGATGGAATATGATAAGAAATGACGCTGGTGCCTTGTGTGGTTGCAAGCTTCTGCGGTCTGATGTTGTTTTTTTTCTTTTTTTTGTCTTTCATATTTTTATTAATCTTTTTTTTATATTTTTTTTTATTGTATCGATTCATCCTTTTTTTTTTAATTCCGCACTATTACAAGCTTACTTATGTGGAGGTTTGATGGTAAACCTCTGGCGCCGAGGCTGTCGTAGCAAGAAGGTGACTCATTATGTCTAACTTTCATATTAGACCAATGCTCCCTTCCTCCGCTTCAACAGAACCTAGCAGTCATGTTAAAGGTAGTCATTATACCAGCGTATGATAAGGAGCAGGGTAAAACAAAAAAACAACAGAAGAAAATGGGAAAGAAGGTTAAGATTTCAAAATCGGTGTAAAGGTGCTACAAAAGCTTGTGCGAAATCAATGCGAGGAAAAGTGGTGCAACTTGGAAGTAGTACGTTAGAATGAGATAAAACAAAGGAAGTTTCTACCCTGTGAGAACTTATAAAATTACAGAGAAGTTAGTACATAACCCATAGCTATGAGTAGTTATCATTACCAAAATTACTTTGTTCATGTTGCTAAGTGCATAAATAAGATGATGCATAATGTTTATAAGTACGGTTCACAAAATAAATGAATTGCAGGAGGGCATAAACCTGAAGGAATATAGTACAGGCTGTGAAAATAAATTGAGCGGATTACTATGTACAGCATAGAAGTGAAGCATTTATGCGTCGGTGGCACAGTGGTTAGGACTCTCGCCGATCATGCACATGGTCCGGGGTTCGAGCCCACGCCGGCGCACACCTGATACCTATGGCCGGCCTGCAAAATTTGGGCTATCGATATCCATGCTGAAAATTCCATACTTGTACCAAAAATACAGTGTGGAATCAAGCTGTAAATCAAAAAAAAAAAAATATGTATATCTGTCCATTTAACTATACAATGGAAGTTTTTTTTTTCTAAATAATCTTTTTTTTATTAAAAAAAAATTTTTTTGTTTATTTATTATTATTTTACATTATTTTTTAATTTTTTATATTTTCTTTTTTTTTTATAAAAAATTTTTTTTAATAATAACTAATTTTTTCGGAAGAAAATGGGCAGTGAAAGGTAATATACTGTTCATAATTCCTTTTTTGGTGTGGGTTACAAGATGACATGAGAAGCCAACTGATCTGTATCGTTGTGAAAATACTTGATGTGACAAGAGTACCTGGGAGAATTATATTTTATTCAACGAAATATAAAATTCAATAAATAAAGAAGTCGTACAACTTATCTGCAGACGTTGCTGGAGGTAGGCTCGGAGAGTGTGCAGAAAGAGAGCACAACAAGAGAGCGAACCTATGAACGTAAGGAAGACTCACAAGTCAAAAGGTAAAACGTGGATCACCGTGGGTGAGTCAGTTTAAACAAAAGTTCAAAGGTACAATGTGCACTACAAGTCGTCCACTATAATACCATGTAAAAAGGGGACATTTGAGACCCTACGTATGATTCTTATAAAAAAGGAATTAGGGTTGCATAAAAACCTACAAACTCACTCAGGGACAGGCTCTGCAGTTTAAAGAAACCTGTTGAGTCGATACGAAATACCCTGCAATGACTGTGGGTAAGGTCAACTACATAGGTCAAACTAATAGGTCGGGGAAATCAGATTGTCGGAACAGAAGAATTTAGCTATGGTAAGAATGGTCGACCCCGAGAAGATGAGTAATTTAGAGAAATGCTCGGCAATTGCATCTCACGCATTAACACAAAACCACACAATAGGGTGGGATAGGGTTACAATTCTAAAAAGTAATCTATGTAGGTGAAGAGAGAGATTGATTACTGAATCCTGGTTCATCGAGTCTACACCCAACACAACACATGCAACAGAAATGACTCAATGCAAATATCAGAAATATCGAAGATATTATTGCCAACAGTCAAATCAGAGGAGAAAAATAAAGAATGTTAAAATTCTTCTTCACTTCCAGCACATGACAACATTCTAATAAGTTACTTATAATGACTATAAAAACACTCGTCTTATTTCACATGTGATTGTAATTGATCAAAAACACTCGAATTATTATTTCTGAATGCACATTATCTCATATTGATTTATATTTTAAAATCTAGTGGATTCCACCCATGTATGTAAATGAAGCAAGAAAGTTGTGTGTGAGTAAATGATATGACTATGACTGGCAATATTTTTCTCGAAATGTCATCAGTTAATATTACTGTACAGCACTGTGTGATTTTTCAGAATAAAATCTCATCCATAATGGAGTTTTGAAGGTGCATACACGATCTGGTTAAAGTTTATTATGTGATGAATTCAACTATGGGTAATTCCCATGTAGAGTGGTTGTCAAATATGGACTTTGTTTAGGTATACAGCGTTTGATTACACAGGGTATAACGATTTTCATGAATCTTGTTCTCTATTCATTCCCGAAACACCTAACTGGTTAACCACATCACAAACACAAATTATGGAATTTACTCAGCATCTAAACCATTTACCGCACACATATGAGAATGGTTATCGCATGAGGAAAAAATCAGTGGTGCATTTACAATCAAACAGCATGCATACCATGAGTCCCGACAACTCAGTGGCTGTTAATTCCTCTCAAATCTACACTTTGATATTCTTTCTTTTGTGATCAAATTTGTATTAATTCCCACTAATAAATGGAATGACTAATATTTGTCACAGAATTGATCACAAGGCGATATCACTTAGAGGACTACTGGAAAACCAGGGAGCACAGGACAGTATTTCCATCCTAGCTGAAGAACCCCGAACCGTGTTCACACATGATCCCACCGACGTTCAATGTCACGAGCTTCTGGTCACAACATCTGCCTATCACATAATAACAATGTAATTCAAACATGTAATATTATTGGCTGGTATCAGACTGGTGAGATCACTCATCACCGAGAAACAGGATCTCACTGATCGACTAAATCAAGCATTTGACTGAGTGACATTTCACATCACAATGTCTTCTACCACTAGTCACCTAGAAACATGATGGTCTTGGGTTCAGACCTCAGTGGCGTCACGTGTGAGCACTGCTGATAGGTGACAAACTGAAGAACAGAAAATTCACCATTCCTCCATGCTTTCGAATGATAACATTGCTGATGTACTCCATCCAGGAGGAAATCGTCTTCAACTCCGTGATTTCTCCACAAGTTTATTTCTAACTAAATCGATACTAACACCTTCCATAAATGGCCGGTAGTATTGTTCTCTAAAACATCGTGAAAGGACGCGAACTCATTTCATACAAGATTCAACTGGAAAACGAGTATTCTCACTGGATCAAGAGTTTCCATTCAGGTCAGCCACAGGACACTCAAAGAAACCACCTGTTTCATGTGCAAATACATGGATGGCAGTCACCTCAGCACCAACATACCAACCAGCCTCACATCTCAAGCACTTGTAGCTAACATCAACATTCAGTGTGAAAATTGAGGGTCACTTCAATAATGACACGTACAGACAAGTGATGAAGTTTCCATGGACTGTAATAACAGCAAGATTTCGACAGAATGCTTCAAATATAGTTTTGACAACAGAATCTTCAAACCATCTGTAGGCAGAATACTGCCATGTGGAAGGTAATGAGTAGTTCTCATCCTTCAAATGAGTGAAACTAGAAGGAGGAAATGAATCAAAGCCTACACTTCTGGATGTACAATTACCAATCAGACACGATGGGATCATTGAAACGTCATTCTGCAGAATGGATTCACAGAACAGCCAGACAACAAAATTTCACCTGCTTATCGTATCAGATGAGTGTGAAGCATTCGATGAACATATTTATAAACACAAGCACCACGGACGATGTCTCAAGCCACTTATTTATATTCGTCGTAGTATTACTGCTCTTCAAGCCCGTTTTCATTTCCCTACACTCTATCTTCGATTACTTCATTATTTCTATCATCTTACACACGGTACTATGATTATGATCATAAAAGTTCTAATTGCATATCATGCTGGTATTATTCTAAGCATTCACACTTTGGTTTAAATTTCCTCACGAAATATAGTTTTCCCATATAAAAAACCACATGTATATGATTTATGATTGCATAGCTTGATAATGAGTTCGTTGGAAAGAGTCTCTTAGCTGAAAATGGCATTCTTAATCTTAGTTAACTTAGGAATTGGCAAGCTGCTGGATCGGTCCTGAGTCAAAACTCACACCTTGGAACTTAACATTATATTGGTCTACCAACCACCCCTTTCTAAGTCGAAACATCCAATAATCTTTTCTATATATTAGGTGTTAACAATTAACGAATCACAAGACAGTATATTTTTCAGTCACAGTGCACTCGTAACAAGTTAAGTAGTGGACTGGTGTGTCGCACAATAAAACACTGACATCAACCAAATCTATTTAGCCGTTTTATCTACATTACTGGATTGTAGTGATAACAGTCAAGTGAATCTAACAAATTCAATGGAGAAGTTGACTGATGAATTGGCGAGTATTTTGATAGATGACTTGAGACTTGATGGAGATTTGGACTGTATGCTGCCGGATTTCCCTTCTCCTGGCATTAATCATGAATTCGTGCTAATGATTGACAAGAAGTTAATGCCTGAGTGTGATACAGAGGACCCGAATCATGCTAAGAAATCATGGATAACGTGTGCTGCGACAGCGGCTGCTTATGTGTACAAGTCTGTTGGTGAGAGTGTATCCCAGCCATTACGCGTATGGTTAAGCAATGCAGCGAGTGCAGTGATCCTCCATGGACTTCTTGGAGAGCTGATTGTTTCAACACAAGAGGATTCAGACAGAAATCGAACAAATGAGAATATATCACTACCCGATACAGTTGTAGATGATCGTTCGGATGGTTATTGGTATTATGGTAGTTGGACGGTGGAGAATGTGGCGAGTAGCTCGGAGATGAGAGGTGTGTTGAAAGCTGAGATGGCGAATGCATGTGTCTCGGTGATGATAGCCTCTGTGGTGAATTACTTTGAGGAGAATCGGTACACACCGAGTGGCTTCAGGAAGTACAGTTATGCATGTAGAGTACTTAGAAGTGGTATGATGGAGAAATATGGTCTGACAGATGAGTCGGATAAGACGAAGGCAATGCTGATCACTGGTCATTGGGTATCGAAATTGGTGGTTTTCGGTATGGCTACGAAAGACCGAGAACTAAACCACCCAATTAGACCTGTGAAGAGGATTGGTTACAAGCAGTCTGTTCATGAAATAGATATCAGTATGTATTTCTATGATGTTCCGGCTGGCTTCACATACACAGGAATCGCCACGCTATGGCCAGAAGAATGGTTCGATCTGTGTGCATCCTCTACTTTGATAATATTTCTCAGCTGATTGACTTACGACAGCTTTACCGTCGAATAGTTGGTGATCCATTTCATTATCATCTAGATGGTGAGTATTTGACTGGTTCACCGAGAACAACAATCAGTGACACAGGGAACAAGCTGTTTGGTCGACTGATCACTTATTTTAAGATCTTTGAACCGAGGACGAACTACTGCTTATCCTCAATTGTGTATGAATGGAGAAACACGTGAGAAGCACTACATGGATTACAGTGATCAATGGGAGAAAATTTTGTTGGTGATTTTGGATGCGATTTCCAAGCCAACTGAACTTTCTGTACTAGATGCGGTAAGCAAGATATGCAGTGATTGCGACAAATTTCTGCTGAATGCTGACAAGCTGAAAGATTGTTGGAATTATTATGACGTTAATCGTCAAACGCAGAGTTGATTCGCAAAAGTTTCTCCTCAAAATGAGAGATAATTTATCGCGTTTTAATCTCAACATGTAGAATGAATGTTTTAAAATTCTGTCAAACTACAATTTTAATATTTCGAATGAATATCCACTTGATTCTGTCTAGTCTGTCTTTTCATTGTCGTTGGATTAGTGTTTGATGATTGGATGGGAGACTGGGTGAGTGAGTTTATGATGCATTTAGTGTTCTAACTTCATGGTCTGGAAAGCCTGGTATTTGTGTTTCAGAGTTAGATTATGATGTTTGTGAGTAGAAATGATTTGAACAGTAGGATGAGTGATTGTGTTGATTGACATTTGAATACATTAGGCGGATATAGTTACAGAGTGTATATTGTTCATTGTGGAGAAAAATATTCTCCTTGTATGGATTTCAATCTTGAATTGAAATGTGAAAACAGACTGAAAGCAGTTTGACCATTGGGAAACACCATTTCCTCAAACGATTAGCAATATGAATTTAAGAAAACGCTGTATATGTCATCAGATGTTTGGAGAGTATTGGTGATGTCGATAGTGTTTGTGTTCATTTGAAACGCTACAACAATGAACGAAATATTTTCCGACATCATAGATTATCGTCTTTTAGTCATACTCTCTCTGCGAATCCAAATTTTATTCATTCGGCTGATTTTGAAATTTCTGATGGCACTCAAACATCTTCCTTTCTCCTCCGGCCATCTCAGTATTTCGTTTACGAGAGGGAGACTTGATTGTTTCGTGTTCTGTGACAGGTGCACAGGGCATACTAGTACGTTGACATTATTATTATTATTGTTGTTGTTGTTGTTTTTATCTCACCCCTTAAAATGTAGGAGGATGTTGGTTGAACTGTGCACTGTTCCTCATTTCTCGATTTAGTGAAGATGCTGTTTAGGAGTATGAGTGTATGTCATATTCGTGGTGAAAGTGAACAACAGAGGCCAGGTGAAGAATATTTGATGGTGATTTGAAGTAATTCTCCGTCGGAGAGAAGAATGTCTAAAGCATGTTGTGAAAATTGGTGTGGAGTGAAATTCGTCGAATAACTTTTAAACTATGCATTGAGATTTGTCCATGTTATAGTCGTCGTTGTTCACAGATAAAATCAATATCGACGACACAGTGTCTCAGCTTGGCGCCCACTTGAAACATAGGTGAATTTTATTCAAACGTTATCTGTATTTGAGACTCAGAATTGTAGGGTTCGTGGATAATCAATCGATACGAAACGACTGTCTATCAGACGAGGACGGAAACACCCGTGAAACACGTGTGAAGTGAAATATGTGTCATGAGAAACGTTTACATAAATATATAATAAAAACGGATGTGATGAGCATCTGGTGTTTGAAATGCACAAAGGAGTAATTTTCAAGTGTCACAAGAGTCTAGCTGTTAGTCATAGTTGGTCATCAGGCGGACGTGACATTCGATTGGTGGACTAACGCTGGATTCAAGGATGATTTCTACATCTCGGACAAAATTTCGTCAGAGGATGGCAGGAAATGGTAGGGTATTGGAGAATTATTTCTTTAGGAATACGCACGTATGACGACAGTAATAACAGAACACAGGACACTGAATTCACAAGGCGGACACGTTACCATCCAGACGCTGGGTGGGGGTTAGATGGCCTATGAATTCGAACTTCCTCGAAGTTATGAGATACTGCATGACGAGGATGCAATGTCACGGTTGAGTACCTGTCCTCACATCAGACATTGTAGACCATACTGGTGATTAGAAGTCAATGAAATGGACGGTATTATCTTAAGGCCTCGACAAATCGCAGAGTAAGCTATTTATTCCTGTTATCATAAAACCCAGTAATGTGATGGTTTCAATTACGCGTAGAATTACCGAGTACCTATTGTTAATCCTACAGCAAGCCTTGGAGTCTTTGATTCGTTTGAAGGATGAGAACTACTCAATACCTGTTAGAGGAAATATCTATCAGAAGCACTATGAGAAGCTGAAAAATTGTCGTCGGTATACCTATCATAGAGCAGTATTCTGTCTACAGATGGTTTGAAGATTCTGTTTTCAAAACTATATTTGAAGCATTCTGTCAAAATAGTGCTGTTATTAGAGACCATGAAAACTTCATCACTTGTCTGTACGTGTCATTATTGAAGTGACCCTCAATTTTCACACTGAATGTTGATGTTAGCTACAAGTGCTTGAGATGTGAGGCTGGTTGGTATGTTGGTGCTGAGGTGACTGCCATCCATGTATTTGCACATGAAACAGGTGGTTTCTTTGAGTGTCCTGTGGCTGACCTGAATGGAAACTCTTGATCCAGTGAGAATACTCGTTTTCCAGTTGAATCTTGTATGAAATGAGTTCGCGTCCTTTCACGATGTTTTAGAGAACAATACTACCGGCCATTTATGGAAGGTGTTAGTATCGATTTAGTTAGAAATAAACTTGTGGAGAAATCACGGAGTTGAAGACGATTTCCTCCTGGATGGAGTACATCAGCAATGTTATCATTCGAAAGCATGGAGGAATGGTGAATTTTCTGTTCTTCAGTTTGTCACCTATCAGCAGTGCTCACACGTGACGCCACTGAGGTCTGAACCCAAGACCATCATGTTTCTAGGTGACTAGTGGTAGAAGACATTGTGATGTGAAATGTCACTCAGTCAAATGCTTGATTTAGTCGATCAGTGAGATCCTGTTTCTCGGTGATGAGTGATCTCACCAGTCTGATACCAGCCAATAATATTACATGTTTGAATTACATTGTTATTATGTGATAGGCAGATGTTGTGACCAGAAGCTCGTGACATTGAACGTCGGTGGGATCATGTGTGAACACGGTTCGGGGTTCTTCAGCTAGGATGGAAATACTGTCCTGTGCTCCCTGGTTTTCCAGTAGTCCTCTAAGTGATATCGCCTTGTGATCAATTCTGTGACAAATATTAGTCATTCCATTTATTAGTGGGAATTAATACAAATTTGATCACAAAAGAAAGAATATCAAAGTGTAGATTTGAGAGGAATTAACAGCCACTGAGTTGTCGGGACTCATGGTATGCATGCTGTTTGATTGTAAATGCACCACTGATTTTTTCCTCATGCGATAACCATTCTCATATGTGTGCGGTAAATGGTTTAGATGCTGAGTAAATTCCATAATTTGTGTTTGTGATGTGGTTAACCAGTTAGGTGTTTCGGGAATGAATAGAGAACAAGATTCATGAAAATCGTTATACCCTGTGTAATCAAACGCTGTATACCTAAACAAAGTCCATATTTGACAACCACTCTACATGGGAATTACCCATAGTTGAATTCATCACATAATAAACTTTACCCAGATCGTGTATGCACCTTCAAAACTCCATTATGGATGAGATTTTATTCTGAAAAATCACACAGTGCTGTACAGTAATATTAACTGATGACATTTCGAGAAAAATATTGCCAGTCATAGTCATATCATTTACTCACACACAACTTTCTTGCTTCATTTACATACATGGGTGGAATCCACTAGATTTTAAAATATAAATCAATATGAGATAATGTGCATTCAGAAATAATAATTCGAGTGTTATTGATCAATTACAATCACATGTGAAATAAGACGAGTGTTTTTATAGTCATTATAAGTAACTTATTAGAATGTTGTCATGTGCTGGAAGTGAAGAAGAATTTTAACATTCTTTATTTTTCTCCTCTGATTTGACTGTTGGCAATAATATCTTCGATATTTCTGATATTTGCATTGAGTCATTTCTGTTGCATGTGTTGTGTTGGGTGTAGACTCGATGAACCAGGATTCAGTAATCAATCTCTCTCTTCACCTACATAGATTACTTTTTAGAATTGTAACCCTATCCCACCCTATTGTGTGGTTTTGTGTTAATGCGTGAGATGCAATTGCCGAGCATTTCTCTAAATTACTCATCTTCTCGGGGTCGACCATTCTTACCATAGCTAAATTCTTCTGTTCCGACAATCTGATTTCCCCGACCTATTAGTTTGACCTATGTAGTTGACCTTACCCACAGTCATTGCAGGGTATTTCGTATCGACTCAACAGGTTTCTTTAAACTGCAGAGCCTGTCTCTGAGTGAGTTTGTAGGTTTGGATTCCACCCTTTTCCCTGCTTTCTCCTCGAAACGTCGTCAGTTAATATTACTGTACAACACTGTGTGATTTTTCAGCATAATGTTTTATCTAAGCTATTCGCGATGATCTACATAGTACCGATTCTGACTCATTTGTTTTAATTTGTTATCATATAACTAGTATATGCATTAACCTACTGTTTATCTTGAAATATTCTGCTGTGAAATACAGTTTTACTTAATTTAATAATCTTTTTTCCTTCACATTCCCAGTGGAACTTAGGGCTTCAAGCTAGTGGCTTGAAGTTTGTGTAGCAGTGGTGGTTATTTTTATAGAATTGGGTTTCTAGCCTCATGCCCAACCTTTCTTCTTTACCAGCATTATTACTGGCTCAGCGAGAGAATGGAGTGCGTCGGCCGAGAATCGAACCGAGGAACATGTTCATGGGCGGCGAGCGTCCTAACCACTATGCCACCGACACACAGTATTACTTAGTGTAATTAAAAATCTGATACCTTTGTTAAATTATAAAGATGAACTTATCAGTTTAGACTAGATAGATTGATCAAAATAAGTTAAAACGTTAAGACAATCAGGTATCAACCAACCTTTAGTTTTGCAATTTTTAAACCCCTGTATTTTACCTATTGTACCCTATTGCTCTCCATCAATCTTTCCTGGGCTTCTCAAAAAAGATTATGTCATATTACGAAGAGTATTAAACGCTGTGAGTAGGGCTTGTGGTCTGCCAGTGAATGAGCTCGCCAATACTATAGTCGAGAGGCATATAAATTCTTGTACAAAATGGGCAAAGGCTATACTGTCAGACCCTCTGCACCCCCTTTATTCACACCTATCCCTTTGTATCTCATCAGGTAGGACGAGAAGTCAATATAAAAACTTATATGCTCGTACCACTAAGTACAGAAATTCTACAATACCCTATTTAGCCCG